TTTTTAAAAAAAATTACGTGGGGCGGGGCGGGACGCGGGTTAGAGATTATTTTTAAACTAAAGCCTAAAGACCTAAACTAATGTCGCCTACTCTTTTCTTTCGCTTCTTTTCTGAATTTACTCAAACACCATATTAGTTGAAATGTTTTGTTTCACTGGCACTATGTGTCTGTTTTGCTATCCAATTTGTGATTCTGTTTTTTTTTAATCTGATATCAGTATCTTGGTTGGAGGTTTTCACCTTAGGAAGTATGACACGGAAATCCCTTTTTATTAACCAGGAGCAGAAGTGTAAAAATTATTAAATGGTATAAAACGTAAATCCATTCTAAAATGGTATAAAACTTTTAAATTAATACTACTTAGCAAAAAAAGAAAAAAAATTTTACTAACAAATTCTTTCAAAAAAGGAAAAAAAAAATTAAAACTTTTATGCGGGGCGGGGTGGGGCGGTATGAAAACAACAAATTATACTTTGCGGGGTGGGTTGAAATCTTCACGGGTTTATGTGAATTTTCCCCGCAACCATCCCGCCCCGCACCATTTGCCATCCCTAAGGTTAGCTAACTGTAGTTATTAGTTAACTGGGGTTAGGTAGTTAGTAAGTTAGTTAATTATTGTCAAGATAGTTAGTGAGTTAGTTGATAGGTAACAACCGTATATTAGCTGGATATTAGTGCGTGTGTGTTGTATAAATAAACAAGTTAGTAGAGTGAAGAAATACAGGCTTTTATTTTCATTTCTTCTCTCAGGCTCTCTTCTCTCTTCTCTATCTCTCAACTAGTTGCTTCCATTCATGTGTGTATCATCGAAGTTTCTAGAATACAGAGATGGAATCTACTGATTTTAACATGGTATCATAGCTTAACAACTATTAATATAGCTATTTGCATCACGATCCACGAAGTTTGTCGACTGTGAGATTTTTGTGAAACTCAGCTTTGGCGATTGATTATACAGAGCTAGAGAAACACAACCACAATCATTTGTTGTATCTATATGCAACAAATACCTCTGGAACAATGCTAATTTCTCTTCAATTGACCGGACCGAAAAATTACTTGTGTGGAGTCGGGCTATGCGAATTGCGATCCTAGAGAGAAATAAATTATGGTTTATAGACGACATATGCAAAAGGGAGAATTACGGTCCAAATTTAGTTGATTTGTGGGAGAGATGTAATGCAATAATTCTATCATGGATAATGAATTGTGTTTCAAAAAAATAATATAGTGGAATTGTATATCTACAAATGTTGCATCTGTGTAGGGAGATTTGAAGGAGAGGTTTGATAAGATTGATAAGAAGATTGCTACAATCATAAGAAGATTGCTACAATCAACCAGGGGATGAACACAATTATTTCTTGAAATTGAGGCTGCTATGGGCTGAATTTGATAGTTTGGCCCCAACTCCAAGTTGTGATTGTGCAAAATTTCAAGAATTTATGACATTTATGGAGCGATTGAAGCTGCTATAATTTCTGATAGGACTCAATGAGTCGTATGAGCAAGCTAGGAGCTAATTGCTCATGATGGTACATGTGCCTAACATCAACAAAGCTTACTCTATGCTAATGGTAAGAGAGAGCCAAAAGAAACATGACCAACACTGTCTCTGCAGCTGAAAGTGGAGACATTGCATCATTGATGATGGCAAAAGAAGGATTTACTCAAAAGCCTAAGAATAGCTACAATATGTAATGTGATTACTGCAAACTCAAGGGCTATACTCGTGAAGGATGCTATAAACTGATAAGGTACCTTGCTGACTTCAAGAATAAGAAAAAGCCAACCTTAAATGTAGCTCACAATGCCTCAATTGAAGATGGTAGAAGGCATGATGCAAAGGAAGCAACTCAGAACAATGGTGATGACTATGCTACAGAACACATGAAAGGACTTTACTTCATCCCTGAGTAGTACTCTCAAATTTTGAAGCTGCTGAAACAGGACAACACTGATGAAATCTTAGCAAATATGGCAGGTAATGCTAATGCTTTCTTAGTAAACTCATAGAAGAAGGAATGGTTTGTTGACTCAGGAACAACAAATCATATGGTTTCAAATTTAAGTGTGCTAGAGAATAAAACTGAACAAGAACCTCATGAACAACAAAGAGTGCATTTACCAAATGGAGGAACCATTGTTGTAACAGATATTGGTTCATCTAGTTTCACTGGTATAGACACTCTAGATAATATTTTGTACATACCATACTTCAAGTATAATTTGTTGTCAGTCTCTTGACTCACAAAGGCATTGCAGTATTCAATCACCTTATTTTCACATTTTTGTATGTTCCAGGACCTTTACCGTGGGAAGGTTAGGGGGATTGTAGAGAGAGAGAGAGAGAGAGAGAGAGAGAGAGAGAGAGAGAGAGAGGTGAATTCTACTTGTTTCCTCAAATTCTTGCTGAAAGCACCACCATTATAAATAGAGGAATGACTGCAATAAAAGAGAAGGTGGATATAAAGCTTTGGCAAAAAAGATTAGGGCATACATCAGTTGGAGCAATAAGACAAATGTTAGGATTGTCTCAAGAACAGTGTAGAAAAACAATTAAAAATTGTATGACCTGTCCATTAGCAAGACATGTTAGGTTACCATTCAATAAAAGTACAGATAGAGCTTCTGAGATCTTTCATCTGATACACATTAATGTATGGGGTCCCTACAATGTACAGACTTTTGATGGGAATAAACTGTTTCTATCAATAATGGATGATCATTCTAGAATTACTTGGCTATATTTACTGAAGTTCAAAAATGATGTGGTTGTGATTTTGAAAAACTTCTTCAGAATGGTCCAAACACAATTTGGGAAATCTGTAAAAATGATAAGGTCAGATAATAGAGGAGAATTGGTTAATATAAGTTATTCTCAAATTTTTCAATCCCTGGGCATTATACATCAAAGAACTTGTGTACATACCCCACAACAAAATGTGGTGGCTGAGAGAAAGCACATTTTAGAAATAGCTAAAGCAGTCAGATTTCAAGGAGGAATTCCTATAAAGTTTTGGGGACACTGTGTGCTAGAAGAAGTCTATCTGATTAATAGAATCCCATCTAATGTATTACAAGGGAAGTCTCCCTGTGAATTCTTTCATAAAATTAGACCTAATTTGCAGCATTTGAAGATAATGAGATGCTTGTGTTTTGCAAAAAGACTAAATAATCATGACAAATTTTCTGTCAGGGCAATTGCTATTGTTATGATGAGGTAACTACCAAAGGGTATATCCTATATGACCTAGTTGTTCACACATTTTTTGTCAACATGGATGATAGCTTCAGAGAAACCTTATTTCCATTCAAACACAAGAAAGATATACACTCACCATTATTCTCTGATCCTGGTTTGGATTATTCTTATCACATGATCCTACTGTAGATCATGTAGAAATTGAAAGCCTCACAGATAACTAGACGCTGCTTACTTGGGAGATGCTAACGCAACAGACCTACCAACTGCAGCAGACCATGCAACAAGCATTCTAACTTTAGCAGACCTTCCAGATGTTACTGCACCAAATATAGAGTTAGTTATGAAAGACTTAAGTCTGAGTGAACATGATCATGAAGAAGGAGTATTCCAAGATATCATGCCACCAGCTGAATAAGTAGAGTTCAGAAAATCAGACAAACCAAAGAATACCCCTAATTGGATGAAAGACTTTATCACACCAACCACCAATTGTGCCTCACATATTCAATATCCTATTCAGGAATCAATTGGCTACCTCAGTCCTACATATAGACATTTTCTGACAGCTCTTACTTCTATAGATGAACCTAAAACCTTTAAGGAAGGTTCTGCAGACCCTAGATGGGTGGAAGCCATGAAAGCTGAAATTTCAGCATTGGAAGAGAACAACACATGAGAATTAGTACATTTACCTAAAGGAAAGACTCCTATTGATTGTAAATAAGTCTTCAAGGTAAAGTACAAAGCTAATAGTGATATAGAGAGGTTTAAGGCAAAGCTGGTAGCAAATGGCTACAATCAATAGGAAGGGCTTGATTACACTAAAATATTTTCTCCAGTTGTGTAGATAGCCACTGTCAGATTAGTGGTCTCTATAGGTGTTGTAGAAGGTTGGAACATCCATCAAATTAATGTGTACAATACTTTTCTATAGGGAGATCTACATGATAAGGTTTATATGCAGTTACCCGAGGGCTTTGCAAGCCAGGAGGAGAGACCACACCTTGTTTGCAGGCTTGTCAAATCTCTCTATGGGTTGAAGCAAGAAAACAAGCATTGGAATGTCAAGTTAACTGAAGCTCTAGTAGCTCAAGGGTTCACCCAAAGTAGTTTGGATCACTCTTTGTTCACTCAGAAATAGAACAACAACATTGTTGCTATTTTGTTTTATGTGGATGATATGTTGATCACCGGGAATAGCTTGAAGCTGATAGAAGCCACTAAGGGGAAACTGAATCAGACATTCAAAATGAAGGAACATAGAGAGTTAAAATATTTTTTAGGGATTGAATTCAACAGATTCACTAAGGGAATCTTGATGAACCAGAGGAAGTATGCCTTAGAATTAATTGGTGAAATGGGATTGAGTGCTGCAAAGCCTGCTTGGACTCCACTTGAGTATAATAATAAATTCACAAACAAGGAATTAGATGACATTACAGGGGTGAAAGATGATGATTTGCTGGAATACAAGGGACAATACCAGAGGCTAATTGGGAAGCTATTATATTTGACACTAACCAGATTAGACATAGCTTTTGCTATTTAAACTCTAAGCCATTTCATGCAACAACCTAAAAGAAGTCACTGGGAAGCAACTCTAAGGTTCTGAGATATATCAGAAGAGAACCTGGACTTGGCATTCTAATGAGTAGTAAAAAGGACAATGTATTAAGTGCATATCGTGGTGCTGATTGGGCATCGTATCCCAATACAAGAAAATCAGTAACTTATTTTCTAGTGAAGAATGGAAGTTCACTTATCTCCTAGAAGTCTAAGAAACAAAACACAACGTCGAGAAGCTCATCAGAAGATGAGTATAGAAGCATGGCATGGACCGTTGCAGAACTAGTGTGGTTGACTGGACTGTTCAAAGAGTTGAGAGCAGATGTGAGGCAGCCTATTGACCTATTTTATGACAACAAAGCAGCACAACAGATTGTAGCAAACCCAGTATATCATGAGAGAACAAAGCATATAGAGATTGATTGTCATTTTGTAAGGGAGAAGATTCAACAAGAAATGGTGAAATACATCATGTCAGTTCCAAGGAGCAGCAAACAAATATATTAACTAAGGCACTATTGAGATCACAACATGAGTATTTAGTGTCCAAACTGGGAGTGCTCAATATTTTTGCACCTATCAGTTTGAGAGGGAGTGTTGAAACTGGTGCAACGTGAGGTTAGCTAACTCTAGTTATTAGTTAACTAGGGTTAGGTAGTTAGTAAGTTGGTTAATTATTGGTAAGGTAGTTAGTGAGTTAGTTGATAGGTGACAATTGTACATTAGTTGGATATTAGTGCATGTGTGTTGTATAAATAAACAAGTTAGTGGAATGAAGAAATACATGCTTTCATTTTTATTTTTGCTCTCAAGCTCTCTTTTCTCTTCTCTATCTCTCAACTGGTTGCTTCCATTCATGTGTATATAATCGAAATCTCTAGAATACAGAGCTGGAATCTACTGATTTTAACATAGTGGAGGTGCAAGAAGACAAATGTTAACATCTTATTAATTCCCTTATGGAAATTTTCTTTCCTTTATGTTCATCGATCATGTTTACACAGAAAAATCATAAATGTGAATCTGTAAGTCAAAATGGTCTTGCAAAGTTAATCAATGATAGCATAAAAGTAAGTCAGGAGTACGTATTTGGTTGAAGATCTCATCGTACACATGAACCTGAATGAACACTTTTTTCACCAAGAAAAGTTTAATCATGAAAAAATGATCATTGTGACAACGATTTGCTCCACATATCCAGGATATTATTGAATTATTTTATTTTTCTTTTACCATTTGGTACTTAAATTCCACCGACCGACTAAATCATATTTGTGCACTCCCTAACAGGAATTTCACCATTCTCAAAACTCGATACGAGGTCTTCAGTTAAGAATTCATAAATCTCATCTATTCTGTCACACCCCTTAATAGTGAATCATAATAACATTCAATGCAGTAGTAACAGCCTTTTCTTGAATATGTGAGGCGGGGGAGGGGTAGCGAAAAAGAAAAAAAAGAAAGTAAATTAAGGAGAAGTTGGAACACCAATTAAAATATTAACCTTTGATCATTTAGTCCACTTGCTAGCTGTTTTAAGACATTGTGACTAGTCAAAGTTACATTTGCTAACTGATTTCTATTCAAACCCAATGGTTTTCTATTCCTCCCTTCTTAGCTCAAACCAAGCTAGGGAATAGGAATTTAAAAGAGGAGAATACTCGAGAAAAAATTTAACAATTTGTTTATACTTAAACCATAGAATAATCGGTTTCAGCTGATGTGGTGAAGGGTCCGTCCACAAGGACAAAGGCAGAATCTCAATTAGTCTCCCTCTTAATCTTTCTCAACCCTAACACTTCTCAATCCTCTAAAATTTAATCTAAATGAATTTCAAAACCATAAAAAACAAACTGCACGAATTTCATTAATAATAAAATCTGAAAAGTTCAACTTTTTGGACACCTCGAGTAGTGAAGAGGAAGATCTCCAGAATGAGAAATTAATCGGCCGTTCCTATGACTGTACTTGTTATCCTGAGTAAGTTTATATTTATGATTGATAAAGAAACACATGCATGAACCAGATCCATACACTGTATACACATGGCACATGCAGATTCAAGCACAAGGCATGCACATGAAGGGGATAAGCACAAGTGGTTATATCTGATATCTCCTGAACAAAAAAGTTGCATAATTGATAAGGAGAAGGACTCCTTACTTGAAGAGAACTCTATTCTAGATATGGGAGGAGTTAGAAATTGAAGATAACTAGAACTCTTCTATCATAGAAGAGTAAAGCATTAGAACTCTAGTTATTTCTTATTCTACTAACTCTATAAATATCAGTTTGTTCTCTTCAACAGACAACGCACAAATGCTAAAGTTAAGGAAGAATTGAGAGCAAAATAGCAAGGAATTTTGCAAGCAATTCCTGCGTATTTCAAGTATGCGAACCTGAAGCTACATGAACCAGATAGAAGAATCAGTTCCAAGTATGTATCTTTTAGTCTAGTTCAATTGTAGTAGGGCATTTGAGTTGTACCTTTCAGCTTTCTCTAGAAGCATTTGTACTAGGTACTTTGAGTTGTATTATTCAAGTTAGAGTTAACTTGAAGTTGTCGCAATAGCCTGAGGCTAATTACAACAAAAGGTTAGAGGTAATCCTTAGGTTTACAAGAGTTTTGTAAATGTTATTTTTGGCTCAGTGAATTTAGTGAAGTGTTGGAAATATCCTACTGGGAAGTAGGTCATAGTTTTTTCACCTTTTGAGCCAGGTGTTTTCCACGTAAAATACTTGTGTTCTTTACTTTTTGTATTTATTATTCTGCAATTGTAGTGTAAGGAACACGTAGAAGAACCAAGTCCTTCTTTAATCTGTGCACGCAAAAAATTGGGCACCACACAAATCATCCCCCTCTTGTGTGACACTGAAGTATAAAATATCAATTGGTATTAGAGCGGGTTATCCTTGAAGAGGCTAACACCTTAGGAGAAGATCAAGCTAAGTGTACCACCTGAAAATTGGGAAGGGTAATCCACTGCTAGGCCACCACTCTTTAATGGCTAGTACTACTCTTGGTGGAAGTAAAGAATGAGAGATCGCATATAGGGAGAGGACTATGACTCTATGAGCTATGGGACATTATCACTGATGGCCCACTATCTACTTTAAAGAAAAATGCCGAAGGAGTAGATGTGCCAAAAACAAGAGCTGATTGTAATGCTGAGGATTTGAAGAAGTGGGAAAAGAATGCCAAAGCCAAGAAATGGCTTATTTGTAGACTTGGTCCAGATGAGTATAGCAGAATCCAATATTGTTCCACTACTAAGCAAATTTGGGACACATTGCAAGCGACCCATAAGGAACAACTCAGGTGAAGAGATCAAGAGGAACTCTACTTTACTCTCAGTATGAAAACTTTGCTATGAAGGATGGAAAAACCATTTAGGAGATGTACACAAGGTTCACCATTGCCAAATGAACTAAAATCTCTTTGCAGCATTATCCCCGAAGAAGAAAGAGTTGAGAAGATACTTACTAGGGTCTTGCCAATCACTTGGGAAAGCAATATCACTGCTATTCAAGAATAAAAAAATATTTCTACACTCCCTCTGGATGAATTGATTGAAAATCTCACTGCTTATGAACTTAGGAGACAAACCATGAAAATGGATGTACCTAAGAAAGAGAGAAGTTTGTCACTCAAAATCATTGAAGGTTCTGATGTGGAAGATTATGAAATGACAATGATCACCAAAGACTTCAAGACGTACCTAAGGAGAGGAATGGGTTCTTCAAGAAGTGAAAACTACAGTAAGGCAAGAGCTCCGGAGAAGCAAACCAAAGATGGCTTCTACAAATATGGAAAGACTAATCACATGATCAAGAATTGTCCTTTGTGGGAGATTGAGTAGAAGAAGAAAAGAGCTGAACGAAGGAACAGGAAGAAGTAACATGTTCATCCCAAGAAAGGCAACAATAAAAGATCAACCAATGCTATGGTCGTTGCTTGGGGAGAAAGCTCAGATGCTGATGATTATGATGATGATAAACAAGCACTAATGGCTATTGGAGAATCTAATGAAGAAACTGAGGTAAGTGTCTTTCATCTCAAAGACAAGATTAAGTTTTTTTCTAAAGAAAGATTTTTTGAATTATTACTAGAGTCAATTGATGAATCTGAGGATGTGAATAATGAAAAGGAATATCTGTCAAAAGAATGTGTTATTTTGAAGGCTAAGTGCAAAAATCTGGAACTTAGGGCTTGTGAAACTGAAAGTGAAAATACTATATTGATGAACCAGGTTCATGCACTTGATACAACTATCCTAGAACTTAGATATGGAAATCTAAAATTGAAATTAGGAATAGGTAAAACAATAGCTGGTGACACACAACTCACTTTAGAAGAGAATGTAGGTAAAATGAAAGATGAGTTGTATAAAAGGGATGAACATGTAAGAGTCTTAAAGGAGGACATGTACAAGGTCAAGCATGAGCTAGACAGAACTTGTAAATGGAATAGGTCTTCTGATGCACTTTCATGTCTACAAGAACATCATAGTAGTAACAGAAGAGGATTTGCTTTGGGAACTCTACACCTAAGTGGGATCCCAAAAGCAAGTACCTCACAATTTCTAAGAATAAGATCTGCACACACTGTGGTAACATTAGTCACTATAAGAGTTATTGCACTGCAAAAGAAAAGGCAGATCAAAAGAACAATAATTTTGTTCTAGGGAAAAATAGGTTGCCAAGTTAGGCTAAGAAGAATTTGATTCATCATTTTGCCTATAGAAAGGGACCCAAACTAGTTTGGGTTTCTAAGAGTAACCCCTAATTTCTTTTTGTACGTCCAGGTGAAGGGAAGCAACCAAATATGGTACATGGATAGTGGCTGCTCGAAGCATATGGCAGGAAGCAAGAATCAGTTCATTTCACTTGGGGACCTTAAAGGAGGTAATGTCTCCTTTGGAAATGGAAAGAAAGGTGGGATCATTGGGGTTGAAAAGGTAGGTAAGACTGATTCTCATTCTATTGAGAATGTCTGCTTGATAAATGGATTGAAGTACAATCTAATAAGTGTATCACAATTGTGTGATAGAGGTAACATGGTAGCCTTCACCTCTACAAAATGCATTGTGATAAATCTTACCACTGACAAGATAATTTTGCAGGGAAAGAGAGTGGATAACATATATGTGGTGGATCTGTCCTCACTTTCAGATAATCAAATCACTTGCTTAAGTGTGTTGGACAATGATTCCCTCCTTTGGCACAAGAGACTTGGACATGCCAGTCTAAGCCAACTCAACAAACTGGTCTCTAAGAACTTGGTGATAGGGCTGCCTAACATTAAGTTCAAGGAAGATAAAGTTTGTGAGGCTTGTGCAAGGGGGAGGCAGGTAATATCATCTTTTAAAATCAAGAAAATGGTAAGTACTACCAGGACGATAGAACTGGTCCATATGGATCTATGTGGACCAATGAAAACATTGAGCAGAGGTGGTAAGAGACATGCTATGGTGCTTGTTGATGATTACTCTAGGTTTACTTGGACACTATTTTTAACATCTAAAGAAGAAGCATTTGACATGTTCCCTTCATTTGTTAGAAAAACTCAAAAATAACTAGGTAATCAACTAGTATCAATTAGGTCTGATCATGGTACTGAATTTGAGAATGCTAAATTTGCTGAATTTTGTGATTGGCATGACATAGATCATAATTTGTTTTCTCCTAGAACTCCACAACAAAATGGAGTAGTTGAAAGAAAGAATAGGACAATGGAGGAAATATCTAGGACTATGCTACTTGCTAGTATATTGCACCATAGCTTATGGGCAGAAGCTGTGAACAATGCATGCTACATCATAAATAGGTGCATGACTAGACCTATTGTTGAGAAGACTTCCTATGAGTTACTTAAAGGGAGAAAGCCAAATATATCCCACCTTAGGGCATTTGGATGCAAGTGCTTTGTGCACAATAATCGAAAAGATTCCCTAAGTAAGTTTGATCCCAGAAGTGATGAGGGAGTATTCTTGGGATATTTTTCACATAGTAAAGCTTATAAGAATTATAACAAAAGAACTATGTGTGTAGAAGAAAGTGTACATGTTGTTTTTGATGAAACTGACATTCTTTCTGAGAGACAGGAACAAGATGATGAAGCAATTAGACTGGTAAGAAACTCAAATGAAATGACAGCCCAGCCGGAAGCTTCACCTGAGGAAGGAACATGTGATGGAATAACTCCTTCCACCCAGGGCAACTTGACAGGGGGAAGTGAACAAAGAAGAACTGATCCTCAAACCTCGAGGGAACCTGTCCATGAACCTGTTCCTCTATAACGACCAACCTGATAGGTTTGAGCTCTAGAGTATCATTCAGTGGTTTGAGCCCTTGAGTAGCTTCACTTCAGGTATTATGACTTGTACATGTGGTCGGAATTAAATTTCGGGAAGTTCTGGATTGATTTGGAAAGAAAATTCTAATTTCAAAAGCTTTAAGTTGGAAGAATTGACTAAGGTTTTCCTTTTGAGTAAATGACTTCGGAATTGGGATTTGAAGGTTCCAACAAGTTCGTATGATGATTTTGATCTTAGGAGCATGTACGGATGTTGATTTGGAGGTCCGTAGGTTATTTTGGTGTCAATTGGCGAAAGTGAAAAATTGGATGATTTTTGGGAAGTTTGACCGAGAGTGAATTTTTTGATATCGGGTCGGATCCCATTTTCGGAAGTGGGAGTAGGTCCGTAAAGTCAATTATGACTTGTGTGCAAATTTTGAGGTCAATCGGACTTGATTTTATATGTTTCGGCATCGAATGTAGAAGTTTGAAGTTCTAAGGTTCATTAAGCTTGAATTGGGGTGCGATTCATGATTTTGATGTTGTTTGACGTGGTTTAAGGCATCGAATAAGTTCGTATGTATTTTGAGACGTGTTAGTATATTTGGTCGAGGTCCCGGAGGATGGGTGCGAATCGGATTGAAAACAGATCGAGTTTGGATTGGGGAGAAGTGCTGAGGCAGCTGGGATCTAGTGCAATCGCACTTGCGTGGGAAAGGGCCGCAGGTGAGAGCCCGCAGAAGCAACCCAGTGGCCGCAGAAGCGACTTTTGGACTACATTGGGATGGCCACAAATGTGAGAGTTTTTACGCATCTACGATCCCGCAGATGCGAGGCAAGCTCCGCAGAAGCGGAAGACGAGAGGGGCAGCTGAGGTCGCAGAAGCGAGTGTTCTCCGCACATGCAGAAGCGCAAGAGCGGGTGGTGGACTGCAGAAGCGGTGGCGCAGAAGAGAAAAGTGGTCCGCAGAAGCAGATTTTGCCTGGCCTCGTCTGGTGTTCCGCAGGTGCGGAAAGTCAGCTGGGCAGATTGTTTTAAAATCAGGGTTTTGCTCATTTCCCTCATTTTCTCACTTGGTTGGGGGGATTTTGGAGAGATTCAGGGGAATATTTTCATCAAGCAACACAAGGTAGGTGATTCCCATCTATTACAAGTTAAATACATGGTTTGTATAAGGATTTAAACATGGAAATTAGTGGAAATTGTGGGGTTTTTGGTAGAAAACCTAGAATTTGGTATTTTTGGAATTTAACAACGAAATTGGACATGGAATTTGGAATAAGTTATATATTTTAGTTCGTGGTGTTATGGGTAAAGTTTATCTTCAAAAATATTTGGAATCCGGGCACGTGGGCCCGAGGGTTGATTTTATAGACTTTTCGAGCAGAGTTGGGAATTGTTTAAATTGATTAATTGTGGGTATTAAAGTATCTTTTAATTGGTTTGAATAGTTTTGGATCGACCAGCTTTGGTTTGAGGTTTTAGAGAGGCCTTGGAGCCGGTTATGGAACTTCGGAGCGAGGTAAGTCTCCTGTTTAACTCTGTGAGGGGGAAACTACCCCTAGGTGATGTATTTGTTATATGTTACTTGTTGCGGGAGCTACGTACGCACCAGGTGACGAGAGTTCATGCGTAACTAGATTCATGTTATGTCCGGGTAGACTTAGATTCCCGCCATGCTATAACTGTACTATTTGAGTTGTCTCTTGCTTATTACATTCTTTTATTTTACGTTGCGACTTGAGACTAGACTTGTGTAGAGTGATAGACTTGCTATTGTAGTGATTCGACGAGCTTCATGATTAGCCGCAAGATGATTGCACTCCTCTTACGAATTTCTCCCATGTTATGCATTCTTACCGAAAGGTTTCCCCTTAAAAAATTATAACTCACACGTCTATTCGTGGGTGAGGTCAAGGACCCGTCAAAGCTTCTTATTCTAAGGGGATTGGGCTGTTCACCTTAGCAGGATAGATACATCTATGGTTCGTGCCGTTCGACCCTCGGCAGTGCGCACACTATGATGGATCAGACCGTACGCCTCGGTAGGATTTATGTACCATACTCTCATGGGAGCATGTCGTTCGCCTCGACAACAAAATAGATGTATCTATGGTTTGGCAATGTTATGATGGATCAGGACGTATGCCTAAGCATTTCTATAAAATACTCTTATGAAATTGTGTGTAATAATTGGCAAGAAGCCAACATATCTGTGAGCTTTTTCCTGATTGAACTGTGACGACCTATATGGTAAGGTCCATTATATATATATACTCCGATTGAGGAGGTAGTTACTAGATGAGAGTTTGAGTCATTGTTGAGAGGAGGATTGTACCACATATTATACTTGTTACTTCATTTATTTTCTCTGATTCACATATGTTTACTTCTACTGTATCTGTCTTATTGGACCACTAGTGAGTGTTGATGTCGACCCTCATCACTACTTCTCTGGGGTTAGGCTAGATACTTACTGGGTACGCATTGATTTATGTACTCATACTACACTTGCTGCACTTTTTTTATCCAGGTACCTATATGTCCGATGGTCTTTGTGCGTAGAGGCGCGGCTATTTTGAGGACTTTACCGTGAGGTGAATTTCATGTTATGATCCATAACCTGCAGAGTCTCCATCAGAGTTATTTATATTTTCCTGTCTAACTTGTGTTCCAGATAGATATTGTATTTTATTATATTTCCTAGTTGATGCTCATGCACTTGTGACGCCGGGTTTTAGGGGTTCCTACGGATCGTTCACTATTGTAGTTCGTGTAAAATCTGTTTCACACTATTTCATTAATAAAAATTATGATTTTAAGGTACTAGAATGAGTAATTAAATTGATCAATCACTATTGGCTTGCCTGGCAGTGGTGTTAGGCACCATCACGACCCCTTTGGTATTTTGGGTCGTGACAACTTGGTATCATATCTCTAGGTTCACTTAGGTCTCACGAGTCATGAGAAAGTCTAGTAGAGACTTGCAGATCGGTACAGAGATGTCTGTACTTATCTTCGGGAGGCTACAGGGCTATTAGGAGCACTTCCCTTCTTTATTTCCTCATCGTGTGGTTTGATTCCATTGAGGCTTGTGCCTTTATTTCCTTCATACTCAATCTTATGCGGTATGAAGTGCTTGTTATCAAAGGGGCATCGAGTAGTTGTGGTGGTACTGCATACATAGTGCAAGATGTTTTTCCCTGCGTGTTCGGGAAGGCTATTAGCGTCGCCTTGCGGAAGGATGTTCTTTTGTTCCATCTCAATATCTGTATTTTCTATGGTTTTGAGACTATGCATGGATTGCTACGATGTCTATGCGATGTTATCGCACAATGTTGATGTAATGGTAAATTGATCGTTTATGTGTTGAGGAAGTGAATGGCTTGAAGAAAGGATTTCTCAGTGCATGATTAAGGGGTTCAGCATTTTATTACAGCGGAGGAAAGGCAATCAGACTATAGATGTCCAGGTTTGGTTGATGAAGTAACGAGACTTAATATTTTCTAGCGTGGTGGAATTTTCATTGTGATGCGGTGTCGCCGTCATTGTTTGAATGCATTACGGTTCGCTGGTGTTATGGTCTTCTTGGATTTTGCCTTTGGGTCAGGGTGTTGTGAGATGGTGCCTGAGGGGTAGTTTCCAGAGATAGTGATGTGCAACGGTTCAAAATAGAATTGGTATTTCTAATGTTGATGGCTCGAGAAAGATGATCTTCGAAGAGGCTTAGAGTCGGTAACATTTTATTGGTTCAAGTGCTACAGAGATGGATTTTTTTGATTTGATGCAACATTTGGGCAGCGAAGTATGAGGAAGGACATGGAAGGAAGTGTTTCAAGGTGATTAAAGTACTAGCACGTCAAGCATGAAAGCAGAGGTTGAGGAGTGGCCTAAAGGAAATGGTTTAACCGAGTAAGAGTGACAGATTAGCATATGGATTCTATGGTGGGATAGCCACGTGCCTTGAGAAAGTCTAGGATGGTTTGGGAATCGTGATGGAGGGTGATTTGGTCTACGGATTTTATTTGGAATGATGGTTAATATACGGAGAAAGATTGAATATGGAAAGAAGGAGTTTGCTTGAAATGAAGAGGGGTGTGAAGATTTGATTTTTGTTTTGGATGCAACATGACTTTGAGTTTGGAGCGTATTGTTGGACTTTCAGTTGATGTCAATGGGGAAGGAACATGCTTGTACAATTGGTGGACGAGCATGGGCTCGGGTGGGTTATCTCCTGTGAACAGGTTGGTGGTTGCGTGATGTTCATGAAGCATCTGCGAATAATACTACTTGCTACCCAGTAAAAGGTCAAATATGTGATTGTGATTGGCGATTTAGAATGTTCATGGAAATCTTAACAAAAGACTTCGAGAAGTTTGGCGGGTTAATGGTAGTTGAGAAGGAGAAATCCTTGCTGGTTCTAGGTTTATATAATTGTAGCTTAAAGCTAAGTGGGGGAACCCCACCGTCTATGATTGGATCACATAGTTATTTGCTTGTGTAGTTTCTGATTATCGGTGTATTGGTAGGTTATTTTGACTAAGAAAAGAAAACATCAGGGGTAATTCGAGCAAAGAAATTGATAAATGTGCACTATATTCCGCCTTATCGAAGCTTATGCTTTTGTGGATGTGATGTACAAGGAAAACAGTTCAGCCGGTTGCTTCTTAGAGAGGGTGTTCATGTTCTAGTAGAGCATTGGAGATTGGTTATATTCGGGACTAGGTCAGAGTGGGTGACTTTAGACAACGATCCTAGTGGGTTCAAGAATTAAAGTGAAGTATTAGAGTAAAGGAAGAAATAATTTCGGATTCGCGGAAGGTCTTGCAGAATGGGTATACCAGTTGGAGATGCTATGGTGCGCATAAGGAGAGTATGAGATGGTTCATGAGTATTGAGACAGTGTGGTCTCGTGATGTTGGTCACTCGGGATCAGTGCGGATTGGGTTCGTTACGTTTCTGAATGGAGCTATTATTATTTATAAGGCAAGTCTAGAGTAAATTGAAAGAAGTTGGGTCGGTTAGTAATGGTTGAATCAGCATGATTGGGGCAATGATCACTTCCTTCAGCGTGTGAAGTAATACATGTGGGTTGTGGTTGTACGCGCGGGCTTGACAACCACCACAACTTAATTGATTTGGGAGGTATTTGATTCAAATGGCCTTGTGGTATAAATGGATTCCGGAGGAGTCATGGAGGTTTAGATCACGACTTGAGGTTGTATTTTTTGCTGTTTGCGAATTCAGTTGCATGTTGCATGGGCTCTCCGGAGCTAAGTGAAAGGTTTCTAGCCAATGAAGTGTTATTCTACTGGTAGTTCAGGGGTTATGATGGATTCGTGTATTCTCGCGTAGCGGCATGACAGGTGCGGTGAGCGACATGAGAATTTGGAAGTTGAGGACCAAGGTTGCAGTTCGGTGTTGACAAGAATGTCATGAGCTCGGAGGAGCCGAGGAGAATTAGATGTTCAGAGTAATCTAACATTATCCTAGCGTAGTTTGGGAATGGTGTTCCGTGGAAGGAGCATTGTTTATTGATTTGTGAATTTTTGATCTACTTTACAGAATTAGTACAGTTGGTGGTATGGATGTACAGACTTAGCAACCTGGGCGGAAGGTCGTGGAAGCGTACCCCACGGGGAGAATTGTATGAGTGTGTCATGCTAGTCACTTTATTGTTAAATATCGAAACTGTAATGACCCGACTGGTCGTTTTGAGCTCTAGTGCATTGTTCGGCAATTTGAGGCCTTGAGTAGCTTCACTTCGGGTATTATAACTTGTACGTGTGGTCGAAATTGA